TGAACACTGCTCACAGTTTGTGAGTTTCCAACGCAACAACGTCAGGGCGACGTGCAGAGACCATAACTGCAGAGAGTGTCGGCGAAAAAGATGGAGAGAGTACGCAGAGCGAAATCTGGGAAGTACTCTGAACAGTAGCGATGTACACATGTAATGTATATATATTATATGGTACTCCCATGCGGAATGCATATATAGAAGTGACATGAAGTGACCATTCCCAAGAACCCAGAAGAAAGCTTTTGACATAAACACTTTAAGATAGATATTTTTTCATTATATCAGACATCTGCGACCTACTCTGCGGCCTACATCTGATAAAGCCACACAAAAGGTAGGTACCGGGGGGGCGTATATAGAGTGTCCAGCTGTTTTTGACATCAACAGTACTGAGTCTTGGCCCAGCTGAAACCATTCAGTTATGCAAAAAGTCAAGCTTCCGGATGTGTCCATGCTCAAGAGTGTTGTGGTCATGGCTTAAGGCCTGACTGCTTCGCTTCAAGCCTTAGCCTGCTTTATCATCCAATCAAAGTACCAGAATGGAGACAAGTGAGTGAGAATACCATTCTGTAGACATGCTGAAGTCATGCTCGCAGGACATAGGACACACACACAGAGACTTTATAGCAAAGCTAGAAACTGCTACAACGCAGCAATGGTGACCCTCTACTCGGAGTTGTTCCACTCTTCTTAGACTGTGCCAAGACCTAGAAATTGCGAAACCGATGTGGAATATCCTTTGAAATCATCTCAGCTGATAGGTCCTTTGTGTGGCCCAAATCAACATGGAGGCCAAGCAGATTGTGATGCCTGCTCACAGCCTCGTGAATTGAGCCTGGTAGGAGCCCAAGAGCCAGCCGGTGACTGTGTCGGTCCTGACCCTTGGTGCATCAGAAGAGGAGGCCCTAATGGTTCTTGGTCGTTCAATCGTCAGCTCCGAATTTTCCAAGACTGCGAGTAAAGTCTCAGGCCATTCTGATCACAGTACCGTCCCACGTGTCTTTGGGTGATGTGAAGAAGGCCAGGGTTTCTTTTTTGATGCATCACCAATTGCTGGCAATATCTATATCATGATTTCAAGGGATGGACCCTTGCCAGAGAACCTTCTGGGCAATCAGTTTGTATCTCTAGCATTCTCGGGCCAGTTGCCAAATGTTACATGCTACATACCTTGTTGCAATATATCATTCCTTGGTCACTGACTGTTGCGATGTTTTCATGTGCTTTTCCTCTGTGAGGCTTTGGCAGACTTGTTTGATCGACCTGAGGCGCATAAAGACTTGACCACCCACCCACACTACTGACACCACTTGTGTTTAAACAATCTCCAGGCAGGCTTGCAAGGTTGAGGGAGCTGAGAGACCAAGATGTTTCATGCTTTGATCGTGCTGCTAATCGTGGCTTGCGATGAATTTATGCAGATTTTCTCCGATGGGCGCTTTCTGAAGCAAATGCCAAATGGTGTTTCTCGGGCAGCAAAGTTTGGGCGCCTCTTACGCTGAAGAGATTGCTTCATGAAGTGCAATACTAGGCCACTGTCAACATGCATGACAACCAAAAGCTTGGTTCGAGGAGTGATGCTGTGAGAAGGACTTCAGACAACTAAGCAGTATTGCGTGAATTCTTTCGAAGGAAACAGCTCATTTATGAAGGTCCTGCACTTGCTTTGGCACCGGAGGTCTGAGTTTCCTACCCACAAGAGTCCAAAATGAGAAGCAATTTGTTGCAGGCTGTACCTTTGCTTACATTGGAGGACTTTGACGGCCTTTTGCTGAGATCAAATCAGAAATTACTGTAACAGGTTTGCAAACTTTGGTGATTCAAATCTGGTGTTGCGAACTGTTGTTGTTTGAGGTTTTGATGAGAAAATTGAGGTGGAGTCTCCGCGCTCGTGCGCTTGAGCTGCTCCAATCAGTAAGTGGCAGCTCAAGCCGCTCGACTGAGGCTTCGCGCACTGGAACTTCAGGGAGTTTCTCCTGATGTGCTGCTCTTAAACCAAAGAATTTCAACGTGTCTCTGAGTAAAAGCTTGAAATCCCTTTTTGACTTTTCCATTTCATGGCGAGGGAAGGTCAGGAAAATACGACCGGAGCTGCGAGCTGCCAGAAGCTGCAAAGCTGCGGGCAAGACTGCCCTCACGCGCGAGGTCCTTCTGTGAGACCCCCTTCGCAAGTACCGCTCCCGAGATCCCTTTGGCAAGACCCCTCCAGTGCCACACCACACCACAGCGCCAACAGCCCGGCTCAAAGCGCCAGAGCGCCATTCGTATTCGCGCCCCCCCTCAACGCCGACCCATTGAGTTTTGCATCTGGTGAGCCCTTCTATCCGAACATAGAAATTTGCGTATTCCGTGCCTTGTGAAATTATTCCAATGGTTATGCGGGATCACGGAATAGTTCTTTTGGCGTAATTTTATTGGAATCATTTTTGGGCTTGGGGGGTTGGGGGGGACCGTTGCCATTTGCGCGGAATATTTTTCTGAATTTCCAATAATTTTTCTTAAACAAAAAAAGTAGTACCCATATTGTAAAACGTATTAATTTTTTTAGGTCTGCAAGATCGAAGGTTCAAAAGCCTATTGCAAAGTTAGTTGTTTTTGAAGGCATGAAAACATCACATATTGCCTGGAGAGATTCTTCGGCTGTAAAATTTGATAATTCTATGTTAACAATATGTGAAAAGTGGAAAGCTTTTCAGCCGTAGATCGCACAAAGGTTCAAAAAACAAAAAGCAACAACGTACAAATTGTGATGAGTATTTGGTGGATTATATTCTCAGCTACAAACATATGTTTTAAACGGTTAGTACCGAAAGCAGTTTTTGGTAAGGTTCAAGAGGTATGTCAATCGGGGATTTCAAAACCAACAAAGAACAAACGACAATTTAGTTTTTCTAATCTTTCGCAGCGACCAAAATATTTAAACATATATTGCCACCAAGAGTAACATTTGGTAAGATTCAAGAGGTATGTCAATCGGAGATTTCAAAAGCAAGACTAAAACACAAACGACGATTGATCACTATTTTGCTGATTATTTTTTTCAGCTAGTAAGATTTAAATGAACCAATGACCAATGGACTCGGTCCAAAACAAAAGATGGAGCCCACGAACCCGAATGCAAACACACGTCAATCCACTGTGTATAGAAAGAGACACAGCCGGTTCATTCTTGTGGGACACTCACTCTTATGGGACCCTCTTGTCGGACATTCTTGCGGGACACTCTTGTGAGACACTCTAGCAGGACACTCTTGTGGGGCACTCTCGTGGGACACTCTTGTGGGACACTCTTGTAGGACATTCTTGTACGGCACTCTTGTGGGACACTCTTGTGGGACACTCTGGTGTGACACTCTTGCAGGAAACTCTTGTGGGACACTCTTGTAGGACACTCTTGTGTGGCACTCTTGTAGGACACTCTTGTGGGACACTCTTGTAGGACACTCTTGTGGGACACTCTTATAGGACACTCTTGTGGGACACTCTTGTGGGACACTCTTGTAGGACACCCTTGTAGGACACTCTTGTGGGACACTCTTGTGGGACACTCTTGCAGGAAACTCTTGTGGGACACTCTTGTAGGACACTCTTGTGGGACAGTCTTATAGGACACTCTTGTCGGACACTCTTCGTACGAGACGTCCTCCAAAAGTCACGCTTCGAGGCTGCAAGACGAGTGTTTCGTACGAGACTTCCTCCAAAAGTCACGCGTCAAGTCTCCAAAACGAGCGCTTCGTACGAGACTTCCTCCAAAAGTCACACGTCAAGTCTCCAAAACGAGCGTTTCGTACGAGACTTCCTCCAAAAGTCACGTGTCAAGTCTCCAAAACGAGCGTTTCGTACGAGACTTCCTCCAAAACTCACATGTCAAAGTCTGCAGAACGAGCATTTTGTAGGAGACTTCCTCCAAAAGTCAAGCGGAAACATCACGCAGCCCTGCCAAGCAGTTTCGCGATTCCAACCCCTCCAAACAACATCCGCTCAACACGCCAATCCCAATGTGACAGCGACATTCACCTCTACCACAACTCACCACCTCACGATTCCCTGCGCCTGCCACGAATCTTTCCGCGTCCACACGTCTAACGCGCGCAAAGTACTGCGCCTGCCACGAAATGTCACCTCCGTCACACCTCGCGACCTCACGATTCCCTGCGTCTGCCACGAGAATCGCACTTCCACGCCTCAAAACCCGCACAAAGTCCTGCGCCTGCCACGAAAAGTGACAATATCATCTCATGTGAGTTTGCAGCTTGAACAAAATTTGCACCACACCACACGTTTGGAATGATTTCGACCCGTTCTGAGCACACTCCCATCCATCACGCTCTTACGCGACATGTCATTTTCATGCAAATCACAATGGAATAGCGTCGCAAACTGACACGTGACACATCCATGAAAAGTCACTTGCAAAAGCTTCCCCCAATGGCAGCGCCTTAGCGCTCCACTGCGAACGGTTGCGAACGGTTGCGAACGGCTGCGAACGGCGAACGGTTGCGAACGGTTGCGGACGGTTGCGAACATAGAAACAACGGGTCGCGAACAAGGCTCTACCCCCAGACCCCCAAGAGTTAAACGAGAACTCTTCGCTACGCATTCGGGAAAGCAAGGACTCCAAAACAAAATTCGAGGGGCTGTGGACCTGTTCCAACAATTGCGGGGTGGGGTGGTGGAATACTGTGATTCTTGTTTTATTTGGTTTATCTTGCTAGTTCTCTTATGTTTTCTTGGGGCGGACCTTGGGTTCCTGGGATGCTAGAGCCTTATAGGTGGTTGTTTGGAGGAAGGCCTGGTTCATCCACAAAAGTATTCTGATGGGTCACAGGGTGTCAGAGACCCCTGGAACAGCTAAAATTTCAATACCATGTCCACAACCAGACCAGGGGTAAACCTCCACACACCAAACCACAAATAACAAAACGACCACAAACTACAACAGGTTTTCTTTTATTTTTTCTCGATGTTGCCCTGGGACCTGGGATACTTCAACCTTGTAGTAGGTGATTGCTTGAAGGAAGGCCTTGTTCATCCACAGAATTATTCTGAGGGGAGTCAGCAAGTCAGAGACCACTAGAATAAGTAAAAGTTCACACATTTCCCATCCCACCAACCCATCGCAAACAACAACACTTCCACAAACTACTACAAGTTTTCATGGGTTTACCTTGGAACCTGAGATCCTGAAAGCTTGGAGCCAGGCTGTCAGAGACCCCTGGAATAACTAATACTTAACCAAGTTTCCATACCCGGACAAGGGGTCAACCCCGCGCACCAACCTACAAGCGGCAACAACCACCAACAACATCCAACAATCCCACGACCGCAAGCTACAGCGTGTTATCCCGTTTTTGGTGTTTTTTACATTTGATGTTCATAACATTGTCTAATACACATGATCATACTTTTCTTGACCTGGAACGCATCCACATCTGGAAACCCTGTCTTTTCTGATCTGATTCTAGATGAAGAATTTGTGCTTCCATTTCATCACCTTGACAGCTCTTTATGTTCTTTACATATCAGTTGTTTGATAAACTCTATATTCTCTTGATCTGCCAGCCTCCACGTCTGGGTTTGACTTTTCCGATCTGATTTTAGATAGAGAATTATTGCCTGCATTTTTCAGCTTGGCAGCTTTATACGCGCTATACACGTCAGTTTTCTGATGGACTTCACATTTTCTTGAGCTGGAAAACCTTGACTTCTGGGTATTCTGTCTTTGCTAATCTGATTTTAGATCAAGAATTAGCGCCAGCATTTCTTTCAGCCTGACAGCTCTGTAAGTTTTTTACACATCAATTTCCTGAGAAAATGATATATTTTGGCCTGACATGGTTTTATATCCAGGTTGGCGCCCAGAGTGTTGCAGATTGACAGGTCTGTGCATTTTCTACACTTAAAATTTCTTGGATGTATGATATGTTTGTTGATCTTGTTTTCGTTTGAGATGTGGCAGGGTCTACTCATGTGCTTTCAGCTTGAATAAGCTCATACATGGACTCAGTGCGAGATAAGATGCGGCTTGGCTTGTTTTTTTTGGCTGGCGCTCGTGGTTTGTGGCTGTTTTTCTGCATTATCGATTAATTCGATTAACTATTCCAGTGAGCACTTTGCACCAAGAATCATGTTGTAAAAACATTTAAATAGTATACAGAATAATTTTCAATTAGTCCAGGGTATATCCACACACCGGTCCACTAATGGCACCAAATAAATATTTACTGTTTGTTTGCGTCTGGCGGCGCTCCGTTTATCCTTGACTGCCCTTGCCTTAACATCTCTCGAGTCTCTCAAGTGAAGGACTAGTGTTATCTTCTGCTTCTTTCCGTGGCATCTGGGCCTGCCACGAGACAATATAATATGCTCCCACTAACCTGATAGGGTGCTCCCTCTTCCTGCGTGCCGCGACCGATTCTTTCCGATTTCTTCAACAACAGAAGAAACTGGCCCACGAACTCAGTTGGCCCACATTCGAAGCTCTTTTCGGGGTTGGACTTTTTTTGCGTTTTTGTTTGTAGTGTTTTTTCTCAAACAGTGTGTCACTGAGGGGTTCTTGCGGTAAGTGCAAAAGCCTGGGTTCGATCAGGGTACGCTCTCTGGGACCGCGCGTTTTGGCCGCGCAGGCTCGCAGAAAAGTTCCGTTCTGAGACGATCAAATGCAATTTCTTTGCGCAGGGTCGCGCGAAATGCTGGCCGCGGGACGGTGCTTGACGGAGGCGCGCTCTCGTTGTGGTGCCATGCGCGTTTTTGGACTTGGTGATCACTTTTCATGCAGGCGCCAAGGAAACCTCGTGCTTTGGTGGTCTAAAGCCGACTTCGTGACAGGCGCAGGAAATCAGAGCAGATTGATGTCGATGTACAGATTTTGTGGCAGGCGCAGGACTTTGGACATGGTGGTGGTCTTCGGCGTGCTCTGACTTCGTCGCAGGTGCAGTGAATCGAGAATTTTGGACATGTGGTTGGTTTTCACAAATCGTGGCAGGTGCACTACTTTCTTGTTGACCTTCGTGGCAGGTGCAGTATTTCGTGGACCTTGTGAAGTGCAAGTTTCGTGGCAGGTGCAATACTTTGTGGACCTTGAAGTGCAGATTTTGCGGCAGGCGCAGTACTTTGTGGACCTTGAAGTGCAGATTTTGAGGCAAGTGCTTTGCTTTGTGCCAAGTAAGCGGATTTTTTGTAGTTAATTGAAAGCCGGGCCTAACCATGGCCACCACAACACTCTTGCTAACCCCACAAATTCAAGTTGCCAGAGATTTGTTTTGGATGAAATACCACGAAGTTGCCAAATTGCCAGGGAACACCCAACGTCCGTGGCTCGTCCAGGTGGCTCAACAAACATAGCACCCTATCAACTTCCAATTGAAGCCCCGCAAACTATGGAATTGACAAGATTGGAATGCTAGGTCTGTGGGTTTGTTTTTGTGCAGCAACAATTTTTCCAATTTTCTTACGAGGGCAACAAGATGTCCTTTGCATCAACCTCGCAGCCTGGCATCCCTTCCAGTCATGAGAGAGCAGCGTAGGTTTTTCATGGTTTTTCCGCGCCACTCCCATAGTGGTCAATCTGGTCAGCACCCTTCTCGTTCCTTCAAAGTTGACCTGAGGAACTCTACTATGCTCCTCCAGAATGCTTCTGGGAGCGTGCAGCCAAGTTCACCGGGGCTCTACATTTTTCTCTAGAGTAAAACCGCTGTTCCGTTGGGATCACTGAGGCCAGGTTTGGACACAGTCATAGTAAAGCTCCACCATGACTTCTTTGAGGTGAGATATGTAGCAGTTGCGCGGCAGAGATGTTTGTCTTTGGCCGAATCTGAGTTCTAGTAGATACAGTACTTCAGCAGGCGTGGAGACAGGACACCCTGACCATGTGTCGGCAGCAGCGACAGCGGATGACCGAGGTGCTGTCCCCATTTTCTGTTTTGTCTTAATGGCAATAAAAGTAAAACAATATGATATGTCTTTGCAATTATGTAGTTCAAGAAAGGTTCCAAAATCTGAAAGGGCAACCAAAGCGTTCTGCGTGATTGATTCTCGATGCAGGATCCGGGCGAGGAGCTGCAGCCATAGCCTCAAGTTTGTTCAAAGTCTAGGGATGTCAAGGGTTGCTTCTTCAATTTGAAGTAGTTACACAGCTTTAAGTGTCCCGCTTTTGCATTGCTTTATACATGCAAGAATAGAGCTTTAGCTTGCCAAGCCTGTGTTTGGTGTTGAGGCTAGACCAAAGGCCAGAGCAGCTGAGCGCAAGTGATCACAGCCGCCATTTGCCGCCATTTGATTGACGCTGACTTGCATTTGCCATTTGCAGTACGCGAGAATGGATGATCTCCGTGAACTCAAGTTGCTCAGCATGGCATTCAGACATACTGGAGATTATAGAATTATAGATATAATTCTGATATCGTTCAGATTTGTTCAGTATGTTGCGTTCCCACGCAAGTGCGGATTAAGAAGAAAAACGACTCAATTTACACTTAAGGCAAGCAGGAAGCTGGGGCCAGAGTCGAAGTCTTGCGCAGCACTCAATGGGAAGGACATGTGACAGGGAAGGAGTGAGACAAGAAGAAGGGTCATGAGTCAAGTGAACAGTTTGCGTTGTGCATAAGGTCGAGTGAAAAGTCCGCTATCCCGCGCTTCTTCAACACAGAGAGTCTAAAGCTTACAGCCAAAAGATCTTGGCCTTCTTTCTGAACGACAACAGTCTGAATTCAGGTTGTCCGGAAGAAAGAATCTCTGGCACCGGTGGAAACTGGCAGGGAAGCTCAAAGGATTTCATGTGCCAGATTTGATCGGCGAGAACCGTCTTGGAAAGGTCAGGAATCTTAGAACCTCCCTCGTTCCAGTCTCAGCATGGGACAGTTTGCTTAGTGTGAACTGCAAGGGAGGAAGGGCAGTCTTTCAGATGGTTTTTCAGGTATCCATTGACCATGGAGTTCTTCGAGGCCAGCCCATTAGTTTTCTTCGAATTTCCTGTGGACACACACAGTGATGGCAGGGTCTCCAGTACTGGATGCAAATGGACAAGGAATGGAGTTTGTGGCGGACAATGGTTTGCTGTGGGGCTTGCCCTTTCGGTCCTTAGAGGTCTATGAACGAGCATATCCGGGAAGAGCCAAGAGTCTGTTTGGATCCAAGTGAAAGCTCTGAACAAACCACACTCACCGGACATTGGCACTTGAGTGTCAGGCATGGAGAGTCAAAAGGTACCAGTGCCGAAGGCAAGCTTGCGATGACTTCTGGGAGCTATTAAGAAATTCAGTGCTCTACTCATCGGTGAATGCCTTCAGACACGTTTCCTAGGTAATTTCATCTCCATTCCTGAGCGTTTGGACCTAGATGCCCAGCTCACAGTGCAGCTGCGGTATAGCAAAGTACAATCAGTACAACTCACTTAGTAGCTTCTTGCTACTAGTAGCTTCTTGTTCCTAGTAGTAATGTCAGGAGCTACTAGTTAGAGTCAAAAGCTGAGGCTCCAGGTGTCAAAGTTAAGGCCGCTTCAAGGGAGGTCGCCAAGCCGAACCCCCATGTTTTGAGAGAAGACATTGACCTTCGTTTGCAACCTTTACCTGAGCAACTGCTACTACCATGTTGCCAGGATGGTTGGGGAGCTGCGAAGGATTCCTCGTGAATCTAAGAGACCTCAAGCCATGGCACTGGCTTTGGCCTCAGCGAAAACAGCAGAACGGGTTTTATTGGGGTGCGGAGTGGGTCTTAACACCAGCGAAGAATTTGGTCTCCAAAATTTACTGCTACGACAGCATTGGTGATGCCAGTGATGCCAAAACAGTGATTTAGCAGCTTTTGCATCATCAACTGGGAATGACGGCATTTTGTGGAGTGCTGTTGCAAAATTGTTTGTTCCAGTATGAAAAGTTTTTATTTACAATTTATGCGAGGCAAAAAAGGACACCTCTGATGAGAAAGTGGGTGCTACTGTAGCATCGCGGGTTCTAGCCCTTGAGAAAGTAGGGCACGGCTAGAACGAATTGTTGAACAGATATGCGAAGACGCTGTGATTTACAGAGAGACCAGATGCAGAGAGTCGAAGAAAAGCCCTAAAGGGCCTTAAGGAGGAGTTTTTGTTGGTGCGCTTTTGCACTTTGTTTGAAGATGTTTGAAGGCTGGACTGGGGCAAAAAATGGTAGTTCCGAAAAGCAGGCCCTAGCCAGCTGGACAAAGCAGGGCATGGCAGATGCGCCTTGGACCGTTTTGAACAAATCTTGCGAACTTGTTGGGTTTGCGACGGCTGGCTTTCGCCACCTCACCTTTCACGTGGCTCGAATATTTTTCTGTTTAACGACTCTGTTTGCTTTTCAAAACGATAGCACTTGCACATGAAACAACCGAATGGTCCTCAAAAACACGGGCAATTCTCTGAGATCGTTTTTTGCTTTTGCTGGCAACTGTTTTTTGTTTGTCATTGACCCTTTATGTTTTGCATTGCTCAAAAGGTCGACATAAGGCTTAGGTTCATTGAGAGCCTTTCATGTTGTTCATGTTTTTTTTGAGTTCGCGATTCTTTTTTCGCGAAAGATTTGCGAAGTAAACATTATATTTGCGAATAATTGCGTTTGTGTAAGAAACAACTTAGATGAACCACCATTTGTGGGTTTCTGTGGCATAGTTATATAGTACTTTGAAGTTTCTAAACATGATTTGCCAGGCAAGAAACACGATGTCCGTGGCGGTCGTGCCGCTTTCCAAGCCTGCGCGCTTGCTGCGTTTGCTGCACTTGCCGCATGCTTGTGCCTGTCTGTCTCCCAGGCAAAGACATCAGAATGCAAAAGCGAGGCGTGAAGCGATGAAGAATGCTCTGCACCCAAGTCGCTCGGTGAACTGATCAGTGGTGACATGCCATGTTTGAGGTTGTTGCCGATGCAGAGCCTGTGTCCTAGTGACCTGGGGCCTAGGCCTGGGGACCAGTGGGCAAGGTGGAATGCTTATACATGTATAGCGCCGGACTGGAACTTAGAATGCTATCGTGAGGATTTCTATTTTAACTTTAATCTTCCATTGTTAGAATGTTACGTGAGAAATGCCCCTAGGCTTAGAATGCAATTTTCCAAAGTTCCAGTCCGGAAAGCATATTTGTATAATTATACATATTATATATATATGTGCAGGTGATGAGGCTTAGAATGACAGTGCTACTGACGACAACGCCGCCGCCGCCGCCGCTCCTACTACTACTACTACTACTGCTACTCCTCCTCCTCCTCCTGCTGCTGCTGCTGCTGCTGCTCCTGCCACTACTACTGCTACTACTGCTACTACTACCACTGCCACCACTGCCACCACTGCCACCACTGCCGCCGCCCCCACCACCGCCGCCGCCGCCCCCACCACCACCACCACCACCACCACCACCACCACCAGCACCATATGTGTGCAGGTTATGAACCAATAATATACGCTTGCCAGTGACACCTTTGACCCATTCTAAGTCTACCCCACAGGTTTGTTCCCGCGTAGGCATTCCAAGCCTGAGGATAAAGATGTGAGGATTTTCGAGGCATTCTAAGTTTCAGTCCGGCGCTATACATATAGTTATAATGCATAAACATATTTGGTTTGAGCATTGTTTGAGTGTGATGGAGCATGGTACAAGTGCGGCAACAGTGTGGCACATGTCCGGCAGAAGTCCGGTACAAGGTCTATGGCCTCCTTGGCTGAAGCACAAAGAGAAGCTTCTGATGCTCACATTAAGGAGGCCGCGCCCGGGCTTGTATATAAAAACATTGAGTCAGGGTTGCTTCTTATTTGTGTAACATCTAAGCTCAATTTCACGAAGCGAAAGGCTAAGATGAATTGGACTGGGATCTTTCTCCATAACGCCTCCCAGAACATGACAAAGCTGCATAGCATGTATCACTCAAGTCTGAAGTCTGATGAAGTATTGAGTTGCGAGTTTCAAGAACTGACAGCTACTGTATCCAAACCATTCTGCACCCTGTCTTGGCGCTACAGAGGTAAGTCTGTGGCGGGGACATCGAGAAGCCTGTAGTCAGGCAAGCTGCATCTCCAGAGATCCATAAATGCATTACTTTTTGGATTCTAGGCAAAAGAGCTCAAACTTATTGCAAACACATAAAGTAACACCTGCACGCTGCCAGTCAACGATACGCATGGATGAAGCTATCCTTTCCGTGTGAGAGCCGACAGGAGAGCCGTGGTCAGTGGACAAACACGAGCCAGGACTGCTTTCGCTTCGAATTGCTTTGAGCGTGCGAGTATCAATCAACAATGTGACCCAGGAGACAAACTTCACCAATGCCTATCGGCGTATTTTGCCCAGTTCATTTTGGTGCAATTCAATGAATTGCACAAGCATGGTGTACTATTGTAATTTTGATGTTTGGCCTTTTGCAAGCAGTGTTTTCCTAGTAACTGCTGCTGCTCCCGCTACAAGGATCTGAGTCATGGCACCAGCGACGAGAAGCGGATATCTCGACGTTATTTCTCTGATTCCTTTGAACGAGAGGCTGAGGTATAAGATGGTGAAGTTGGCTTGACCCAGGCCGTTCACAACAGCAGCATGGAGGCTGAAGAAAAACGCTACGAAGCTGGAACCTTAGTGAACACAAAGGAAGGCCTTCATTTGGACTTGTTGAAGTGTGAACTTCCCTGTGTCCTAGCTAGTAGCTACCGGATCGCCTAGCAGCTATTACGGCCTACCCACCTTAAAAGGCTCACTTGAAGTATTTGAGATTTCACAGGCCTTTCAGATCCATTAGATCTGCAATCGATAATCGCTCGTGCAGTACCGGATGCGATGCAGGAGCGGACCTCTTTCCTTCTACTTCTTTCGCTCGTGCAGTCCAGGCCACCATAAAGATTGCTCAACGTGACGTTGTCCCGCACTTGATCAATCCATGGAAGCTATGACAAGCGTTCTCAATTCTTTGTTCACGCACTAGCAATTTTGCGCCGTTCAATGGCAACGTTGAGGCTGTAGCGAAGCGAGTTGGAAGAATCCGCGACCTGACCAGGATCAAGTTTGCAAGGCCACAGCCATGAGTTGTTGATACAGCCCCAAAAGCATGGGGCAAATTCCAAGCAAGTTCCTCTGCCAGGCAATGGCTCGAACGCCGCATACGTTGGGCCAAGCAGGAATCAGCTACATCAAAAGCAAAAGATGAGTGGAAGGTGCCGAGATTTGCAGAAAATATGTACGAGTGCACAGTAAACACAGTAAAGCGCATGTATGATATATATATATATATATGGGCATGGGCTCACTTGCACACCACAGATTTGGCTCACTTCCGCACAATGAGGCTCTAAGCTGCTGCAACGGATGCCAGATGAAGGGGTGGGGGGGTTGGGGTTGGGTGCACTAAAAGTAGGCATGGTCTATGGCCATAGGATACAGCTTGGGTACTTGTGCACCTCGAGGCTCTAAACTGCTGAAAGGGTTGTGACATGGGTCAGGCACCTGGGTCCTGAGGCACGCGTGTTCTGTTACAACTGATGGATGCAAGCGGCTGTGGGGGTTGGGTCGTTCTAACAGCATGCGTGGTCGATTGGCATAGGTTACAGCTAGGGTAAATTCTGTCTCGTATTCTCTTCCGTCACAAACTGTATCTCATTAATACAAGCAAGAACTAAGAGCCACAGAACCTGCTCCGGAACAGCCGGCCAGCATGTCAGCGCAACTCCATGACAACACGTTGTAGCATGCCTGCGTGACTGCATTCTACACAATGACACAGCACGCACAAACACAAACATTACACGGTGTCCGTGTATTGGCGTGACAACACCTCTCCATATCAGCATGACAACATGTTAGTATGTCAGCAAGGACATCAAGTCAGCATGACAACATGTCTGCAAGCTAGCATAACACAGTGGCAACATGTTAGAATGTCAACATGACAGAACGCACCATACAAGCATGGTAGACTCACGGCATGACAACATGTCAGCATGACAACACGCCTTATAAAAAAACTTTCATTGGAAAGAACCTGTTTTCAAAATTCAAAAAAAGGCAAAAAAAATCAAAAAAAAAGATCCCCGTCTGTTATCCCTTTATTTTTTCCTGTGGGTCATCCCCGTTTTTATATAAATTTTTGGGCTCTTTGTGTTGCAAGGCCTAACGTACCTTACAGGAAAATATAAAGGGAACAGCCTGGAAACATAGGATTCGCACAGGATTTCATAAGCAGAATAGACACAGGATTCTATAATCAATTATGTGTGTCGTGGTCACAGGATTTTAGAATGACCTCTGTGGACATTCCTGGAGCCTTCCATTGAGCATTTCCTGGGCTCAAACGCAATGCTTGTGGCACTGTCCACAGAGGTGCTGGGCCGTGGCCTGTTTGCTACAGGCCATGTGGCTGAAGGCACTGTGATCAATGTGTCACCGGAGATGATGGCACTGCTGAACCACAGCTGCGTCGCGAACGCGAAGGTGGTTGATCATGGAGTGCCCCTGGACTGTGTTGCAGTCTTTGTGGCGTTCTAAAAAACTGAACAGGAAACACGGAAATACCTGAAGCAGCAGTGGTCTAGTCTGTCACACTCTCAAACAAAAAACAGTCAAATTGAAAAGTCAAAAAAAGTCATAAAAGTCAAAAAAGTCAACAGTCAACAAAAAGTCGCAAAAAAAGTCAAACAAAAACTTTGCATAGGTAAACAAGTCAAGGAAAAGCTTGTAACAAGGCAAATTGCAGCCTTTTTGCTTATGGCTTTCAGTCTATTAAAAATTCTAGAACCTTTTTGGTTGTTCAACTTTCACCTTTTCTAGCCCCAAGCCAGCCCCGACCCCCTACCCCAAAGTCGCAGGATCCCTACCCAGCCCCAGCCACTGTCCCAGGGTCTCTTCAGCCCCAAGCCAGCTGCTGCTCAAATTTTGGGGCAGGTTGCTGCCAGGGCCAGGCTTTGGGCTGGCTGCGGCTGGCTCCTGGCGGAGGGGTCAGGTTGAGGTCGAGCTCAGGCAGGCTACAGGCGGGCTGGGGCATGCGGGGCTGGGCCGGCAAAAAAAAGTCAAAAAAAAAGTCAATTGGAAAAGTCAATTGTCAAAAAAAGTCAAAAATGCGGATCCTAGCCTTGGCGGATTACTGGAGGCAACAAACAGTCAAAAAGAAGTCAAAAAAAGTCAACAGTGGAAAAAATCAAAAAAAAGTCGAAAAAAAAAGTCGAAAAACAAGTCAAAAAACAACAAAAAAAATCAAAAACAAGTCAAATGTGAAAACCAAGCGCGGATCCTAGCCTTGGCGGATTACTGGAGGCAACAAAAAGTCAAAAAAAAATCAAAAAAAGTCGAAAAAAAGTAAATTCTGCTCGCGACTCTGGGGCCGGACAGGGCTGGGTACTTGGGACTCTGGGGTGGGCCACCAGGGACAGGGCTGGCTTGGGGCTGAAGAGACCCTGGGACAGTGGCTGGGGCTGGGTAGGGGTCCTGCGACTCTGGGGTAGGGGGTCGGGGCTGGCTTGGGGCTGGAAAAGGTGAAAGTTGAACAACCAAAAAGGCTCTAGAATTTGTAATAGACTGAAAGCCATAAGCCATAAGCAAAAAGGCTGCAATTTGCCTTGGCTGACTTATGAGCTTGTTATTACTAGTTTAGTGCAATGTTGTTGTCCTCTTTGCCTGTGTTTTATATATATATATATATGCCGGCTTTCTTTTGCTCCTGAGTCGCTTGACTGGTCATTTTTGTTTCTTTTTATTTTTTTTTGAACTTTCTTTTTTGATTTTTTTTTTGGTGTTTTTCTTTTGTTTTTTGACTTTTCAGTTTGTTTTTTTTGACTTTGACTTTTCCAGTTGACTTTTTTTTGACTGTTTTTTTTGATTTTTTTTTAACTCAAGGATTCTGGCCTTACCATATGAAAGTGTTTTATAAAACACGCCAGCATGATGACATACCATGACAATGACAACATACCAGCATCATATCATCATATTTGCAAACTTGCTGCGACACTTGCTGCTCCGAAAGCTCCGGACACTTCCTCCGAAACCTCCTGCAAAGCTTGCTCCAGAACCTCCTCCGAAACCTCCTGCGGTACCTGCTACGGAACTTGCTCATCAGTTTTCGTATTAACGTATTAAAGGCTCTGAGCTCACAACATCTTGCGGTGCACAAGCGAATGGAATTCGCGGTGCACAAGCAACCCACGAACCTAGACACACTTGAGAAAGAGCTCGCAAGAGCACACTTCAGGGTGGTTCCAGGAGTGCATCAACACTCCATGGCTCTGCAGGTACGTCGAGAGAGCGTCCTCTCGATATCCTAGTCCGTTGGCTCACGCCAGGAACAGAACAGACCCGTGAGCCCCCTTGCCGTAAAGATTGCATGCAAGTGAAAGCCGCTGAAAACGGGGTTTGACGCGCACACACTCAAACACGGGATAAGAGTTTGTACGAAGCTCACCCGATGCCTGGAAAAGGCTGAAGCTTCAAAAGGATCCACCAGATCCCAAAACATACAAAGACCAAAGTTTCACATTCAACGTTTCCATGGTTCAAGATGCAAGGCATCAAATTGCAAATGCAAATTCCAAATGAGGAGACAAATAAATCACAAAAAACCTTAGAAGCCTCTTATTATAGTATAAGTAAGCAAGACACGGATGGAAAACCTCGGGTTATAGTGAGCGATACGAAGGAGCTGCTCATAGTGGTAGTGAACAGTTAAAAGGAAAACACCGACAGACAAGTCACTGACAAGTCTGCCGGCGAACTCTGCCTCCAGTTTGCGAGCGAGACCAAAAATCGTTCTGTAGTGTAGGAAAGCAAGCGCACATCCATGGCCTGTGGATGCTTCCCTCTCTGATGCATAGTTGCGTTGGACAAAGTAGCATCAGAATCATCAGAAAACATGGTCCCCTGCGATCTTTAAAAATAACCAAGCCCAACAGGCCCCTTGTGATTCCAAGGGTTACACACACACACATGCCCGCAGGCTCTTGTCGTAGTTGGATTCTGTTGAGCGAGTCGCATTGCAGCGGAGACAACTGGCACGAGATTTTCTTTCGGCCTGCACCGATGCTGGAACTGCTAAAGGCCGCGTCCGACCATCCACCAATTCATGGAAGGACATCTACAAGTACTCCTCCATAGGGGAACCAAAAATATATTCAAAGTGTTTCAAAGTTATCAAACACAACATGCTCGATCCTGAAATTTAGTTGAGTTCAATGGCGGTCTTGTGTCCTTGAAAAAACAAACGTTGAACATTATATACAACAAGCAAACCTCCAAAGCCAAGCAATGCTGAACACAAACACCTTATCACATTCGATGTGGGCGGATTTGCAATGCCTTGTTGCGGTTTGCTTGTCAAAGGCTGCAACGATGCAAAAGCACGATGATGCCCAGGACACACTGCAGTATTCTCCTTTTCTAGACTGCGAAGCCGCTGCTTTTTTTGAGGCCAGAGTTCATGATCGAAATGTCCGCTTGGCCAAATTCATTGAGTTTAAGAAGGACGACTGTCATGCATTTGCGTACTCGTACCAACACCACATGATATATGCTTCATTGTGGCATTTCGTGTTGGGCTTGGATTCGCAGGAGTTCATTGCCCTGAGAAGAATGATGTGCGGTTTTGCTGTCATGGTTGATTTGGTATGATTTTTGCTGTCATGGTGCATACAGCTTTCCGCTGCTCCCGTTGAATGGAGCAATGGCAGGCATGGCTGCGGATCGAGAACAAAAACGACAAGATCAGCGCCGGAAGGAAGCTGCTGCTGTTGAACAATACTAGTAGCAGCTATTTGCTACTAGTAGTACGGTAGTACGGCCAGGAGCCCCTAGTAGCGTCCTTGCTCCTAGTAGCGATGCCAGGAGCCCCTAGTAGCTTCTTGTTACTAGTTGTCATATGACCTTCAAATAGCTTCTACCTGCTACTGGTGTAGGGCAGATACTCAGTTGCCAAGCTAGGAGAGCCAACCGAACGATGAAGTAACGGCATGGAAAGTGAAAGAGGCTGACTCTGAGCGATGGAAAGTGCTGCACAGGAGATTTCAATGCGCTTAATTTCGTTTGCCGAGCAGGCCTGCAAGACTTGTCAGTTTTGCGCAATGGTTTCACCCAGAATGCAACCGAGAACCAAGGCTGAAGCTGCACTGAAATCTCGAGCGGAGTCTGAAGCCGGAGTCCTTTGCCAATATGTATTGCTCTCATAAAAGAACATTGTCACAATGTGCCCAAGGTGCTTGCAAAGAAAGTTTAGACTTAGACCTAAAGATACCTAAAGCACAAAGAACATTCAAGAGCCTTAGAGTTGTATACTTTGGCTTGCATGGGTCGAGGGAGTCTTGAGTCTTGGTGAGGCTTGGAAGCTGAAAAGCCTTAGATCGTGGACCTCTAAGACCCGCATTCGCTTCTCTCTTTCTAGAATGTTTCCGTTTCCGTGCTTGAAAGTTGCTTGCTGCGTTCTTTTATGAATAGCTGCAGTATTAATGGCATTTTCATTCTGGCTCCCGGGGCCAATGACAGCAGTGGGTAAGGCAGAACTCATCAATCGGAGGAGCGTCCAGTCAGGCCAACGCAGTTCAATCTGGCAGATTTTGAGATGCATGTGAGTCTATGAGTCGCTTTTAAGATTATCACCTTATACAAAATTGAATGAAGACAATAATGAGAAGTCGTCCTAAACTACAAAGCAATCAGGAAGACAACTCATACGCAAATTGTTGTTCTGCTTAGTCGCCAGAGAGGCCCAAGGCTCATCAAGGCTCTCTCCTGATCATGTGAAGTTGGTACTGTGGCTGTCAAAGCAACAATCGTCGTGGCAAGACCCCAACAGCTTTTGCCTTTTGTGCATTGTAGTGTACATGTGAGAAGTCTAATCTTGGGGATTAGTTTGTGCTATGCGCATTTGTGAGAGTGGTTGCGTTTGCAGCAACCAAATCTGAAAGTGCGCACAAACGATTTCCAGAGAGCTGGCCATTCTACCAGCAAGATCTGAAGCCGCAGCTCCAAAGTGCTTGACATGCCATACGTCTCAAGTTCGAGTCTCTCAGCATGCTTCACCCGCAAAAATCTTTGTTGGAGACCAGATTTGGAACTCCCACCATGCCAACCAGCAATTATACAATATTGAGGGAAAGTGATTTCAGTAAGCTACCTCCAACCTACTAGCTTCTTGTTACTAGTAGTAAGGCCAGGAGCCCCTAGTAGCGCCCTTGCTCCTAGAAGCGATGCCCTTTGTTACTAGTTCGTTTTCTACTTTGTGTGTAGCACATAGAGTGCACCCCAGCCCACTATAATGGAACTGTTTTTTGGGCCCTCCAGGCATCGTGGGTGTCAACGAGGACGCTGCAATCAAGAACATGTTGCCTTATTCACAGCGTGCTCTAGATTGGAGTCTTCATGGCGTCTTCAGGAAATCAACAAAACGATTTCCTCGCTTTGACTTCGGTCGCTTCGGGGTGCTCACCTTAGATGGGACAGCACAAAGATCATTGGGACTATGCTGCAACGTACCAATGAGGCGGAATCCTTGACGGGCCATTCTGCGGGCTGTGGGTTGGCGACCAAGCGCAGTGTGCAGTTTAATGACAAGTGTATAATGAAAAGGACACACAAACACACAAAGACTTAGTTTCTTTGCAATTTGAATGGAGGTCTGTGGGACCCACGAAAAGTGCTTCATTGCGTGGTGCCAAACATTTACACACTTATGCACTTGGACAGCAGCAGCAGCAGTATGTGAATGAATCGTTGCTTCCGAACATGACGCACTTTTTATGCCTGGAAGCAAGGCCAGCAATTGCGTGATGTGCACAACCGCCAAGCTTTACACCTGGTGACGATATTCCTTTGGTAGCCGTCAGCCCGTCAGCAGGAGCTTGGCTTAGTTAATGCATTGAAGAATATGCCCAAGGCATATCGTTTGCAGAAAAATGTTTGTCCGTGCTGCGCTGTTCGACTTAGCATTTACCAGACATGCTGCAGACTTCCCAAACTTTTTGTGTCCATACTGCTCGGAGTCCAAACCTATTTGACGAGAAAGTGTAGCATTCAGAGTCATGCTGATGCAGGGAGGAATCATGACTTGTTAGAGCACATCATTTTAACGCACGTTCAATTCAGTGGACCCTTCAAGCTTTGCTTTCTTGTGCTTTCGGTGTATCTGCATATGGGCAGAGTTCGCATTACACTGCCTGCCTCTCAGACTGTCGGAACATTCATTTGCTGATTGTTCATTACTCAATATTATTCATAATACAAAATGAGGTCCGAATGCCGGACGATATGCAGGAAGGTGCTAAAATCTTTGGAGTTGGAGCAAATGCGCTCTCGTGATAGCAACAATACTGAGCTGTAGCTGTGTCTGTGGCCTTTGCAGCAACTCTGTTTTCAACTTGCTGAAGGCCTTGCAGAAGGCTGGGCTCAACGAAGGTGCGATCGTCGCCATCACTGCCAGATCCTTGGATTTACGCACTAACTATATATATATAAATATAGAGAGATCTCTAATATTCCAGAGGATCCAGAGGAAATCGCGTTTGATCAACGGTAGACGATTGCAGAAGAGAGCCTATCTTCTTCCAAAACATGTTGCGATGGAGCGAGCCTGTTTGGCTCAAATAGTAGCGATGTGGGCTCCCGTACGGGAAAGTATGTTTTTGGGGCGAGGCGCCTTGAAGAACTTTGCCCGATTCAAGAGCTTGACGCTGCAGACGATCAACAAGCAGGTTCTTGAAGCTGAATATGCCGTTCGGGGCAGGCTACCAACTCGAGCAGCTGCAATACAGCAAGAAATATCACAGGGCATGTCGAAATACCCATTCAAAGAGTTGGTGTATTGCAACATTGGCAATCCACAGCAAGTAGGCCAAGAGCCCCTAACCTTCAACAGAGAAGTTCTTGCGCTGTTGACAGCTCCTCATCTGCTTTCCAATTCAGAAAAGCTGGTCGAACAGGGCCTTCTATCAGCAGAGGCAGTAGCTCGCGCAAATGAATACCTTGAAAAGAGTGCAAAGGTAGGAGCATACACTGATTCAGTTGGCTTCGAGTTTATACGCGAGGAGGTTTGTGATTTCATTTTCAGTCGTGATGGATTTCGCCCTGATGCAAAGAATGTATTTCTGACCAATGGAGCCAGTGAGGGTGCTCGTTTGGTGATGTCTGCATTGGCAGCAAAACACCTTGGCACGATTGGGTTTATGGCGCCCATTCCGCAGTACCCACTCTATTCAGCCTTGTCAACGCTGATGGATTCCGAACTCGTGGGATACTACCTCGATGAGGATAAGAATTGGGCTGTGAGTTTGCCTGCTTTGAATGCTGCTTATGATGATGCGGTGAAGAGAGGAATAGTTGTTCGTTCTTTGGTTGTGATAAATCCAGGCAATCCATCTGGCAACAATCTAACGGCGGATACTTTACGAGATGTGGTCAGGTTTGCCAAGGAAAAGAACCTGGTGTTGATTGCTGATGAGGTTTACCAAGAGAACATTCTTACTAAGCATCCCTTCAAGTCCATGTCTAGCATCATGCACGAGCTCAACCTAGACCTGGAAATTGTATCTTTGCATTCGCTGTCGAAAGGCTTCTTGGGAGAATGTGGAGTGCGTGGTGGGTATTGTATTTTTGAGAATTTTGATCCTGAGATCATGCAACAGTTTGTGAAGCTCAAGTCAATTGAACTATGCTCCAATACTGTTGGACAATTATCAGTTGGGCTTATGGTACGCCCACCTGTTGCTGATGCTGCCACTTTGTATGAGAAGGAGAAGAACGAAGTACTCGGATCGCTTAGGCAGAAAGCAGAGATTCTTCGTGAAACACTGAGTGCTTTGGAAGGAATCTCCCTATCTGAAATAGGTGGAGCTATGTATGCTTTTCCACAGGTCAAGCTGCCACAAGCAGCAATAAAAGCAGCAGAAGAACAGGGAGTGGCGCCCGATGAATTCTATTGTATGCAGGCGCTAGAAACCACAGGGCTGGTGGTCGTGCCAGGCTCTGGCTTCCGGCAAGTAGAAGGTACTTTCCACTTTCGTACCACCTTTTTGCCAACATTGGAGAAAATGCAACGAGCCATGAAATCTTTTGCCGACTTCCACAATGACTTCATGAAGCGCTACTCTTGATTATATAGCTGGCGCCATCAAAAATGTGGAGAAAAGAGCAGTAGCGGAAATGCTGTAATTGTTCATTTGGAGGGGTACAGGTCTTCAAGGCGAAGTGCAGTGGAGAAAAACACCATGGAGCCGCAGCTTTGCTCAGGAGAACATTACTGCTGCCGAGCGAGATGGGCTGGGCCTGCAAGCTTTTGAATTCTTGAGAGAATTCTCAGAGTGTTAACTTTGTTACAAATTTCACCTGACTTCTAGTCCAGTTTTGCTCCCAAACAGTAGAGGATACACGGTTGCCCTAAACAAGAGCAGAACACCGCAGAAATATGTATTGAACCTGGCAGCCTGGTCAGAGCATGTAAGGAGCTTGGCATTGCATAAAGAGAAGCAAAGCAGGGAATGAAGGCCCCCTTCAAAGGGTACCTGGTTCTGGAAAGGCTAGGACCTTTCCGTGTCTCTTCTCTATGTCAATGTATGTAAATGCCAAGATCCTGATCTCACGCCAGGTGCAGGTCCCATGGCCTTTTTCGACTTCCAGGTTACTGTTTGGCATTGCAGAGAGGGAAGGCGTGAAGATGCACACGCCATGCTTGCTGGGTGCTGTCCAAGCTGTGCGACCATCCAGGCGAGTGCAGATGCCGTCCCCCAGGCAGGTCCAAAACAGGTGCCAATGTGGAAAGACACTGAAGAACTGGCAGTGCAGGTGACAAGCGTAGCCCCCTCCTGTGTTTTGGCAGATGCCAGGCTGACACAATGTGAGACGATTGTGAGACGATTTGAGACCTCACTTTAAATCATATCATACTTTTGGTTGACTGAACCGATTGACAATTGAGAAAGCACTACGACATACATGTTTTTTTTCCAGGGGTGGCTTCTCAACTCCTGCGTTTGATGCTTACCATTGCTTCTCTTCAAGGGCTTGAAGGTGCTTGGCGCCCATGCTAAGGACGTTGGCCGGGCACCCACTGCTCGTTGAGAAGGCCAGTTGCAAAATGATCTATATAATGCTCATTTCACGAAAGCGAGCCCCAAAGGTATTGATATGAGTTGAATTGATAGGTTCAGGGGATGTGCGATCGAATTGATCTCAGACACAAGAGGCCCCCCGCTTTGCGTGATAGAACAACATATCAAGTATTACTACTATATTTTCCACTCCTCCAACATTCGATTACACATCAGTTGCATCATTTGAGAGAAATGAAGAAGATGTACCTTTAATTGTTTTAACAACATAACCACCGGCAAGTCCACTGCTGGGAGATTGATGGAGTGAGTTTGCCCACTACTTCAGGAGGAAGAACGTGTTTTCCTCTCACCAGGTCTTATAACATTTGCGGATTGGCTGCGGTCGAATTGCGAAGTCCATTTCGCGTGGCCAGTGTGGGGCGGTCAGCTATCACCCTCTTCTTAAATCTAAACAATTGAACAGCTTTGGATGTCAATTTTGAACCTTCAAGAAGAAACGGTCTTGTATCCTAGTGGTGTATGGCTGCTGGTCGAGCTAAAGTGAGACATCGCTAGCCAGACATCCTTGCCACTAGACCACACTTGGCCAAGAGTTTTCGGGGGCTTCCGTTTCCGCCTCGACAGAACTTTTCTTGAGCTTCAAACAGACAGACAAAAGCGTTCTCAAGGCCAGGGCCACTGGCGTGGCAGTCCTTCTGATCCGAAACGCTTTTCACTTTGCTGCGTGGGCCTCTGAGCTCACAATCAATACTTCTTTATGAACTGTTGCAGCTGCCATGCATTCGACATGTGGCATTGAACAGAAGATCCTGATGAGCCTAGGTTGTGGCAAGACGTTGAGCCATTGGCTGCAAAGTCATTTCCTGAGTTCCCCAAGTTCCTGCAAGAGACTGACCTATCGTGCCTAGTATGGAGGCACGGCCTGGTTGCAATGGCCTTCCTGAACTCGAAGGCAGAACGTATGTTTCCACCAAGAGGAAAGACATAGAGACTAGCAGGGCAAAACGGCTCTTACCCTTGTCCAATCAGCCAAGGCTTAAAGCTTGGAGTTTTTATGGGTTTTCTTGTTATAAGTAGAACAGAGCAGGATGCAGGTTTCGCACAAAGATGCTGCGAAAACATTTTTTGCAACCCTGTGCAAAACAGATTGGTTTCTACAGTCTAGAGTCTAGAGATGTAATTATGTATATCGTTATATATCGTGATTGGGTAATTACACTGGTCAAGCAACAACTGTTTCGCCGCCGCCTCACGATCCGACGTCCTCGTCGGCCTTCTGTGAGAGATCCCCGTCTCTCTGTCAACCACCGAAGAGCTCCCTGGCTCCAATGTCAAGGCCGAGAGCACAACCCACCTGCCTCTGGCGGCCGCGCTTAAGCCAAAAAGGGCCTGCACGATGAAAGGCTTCAGGTCAAGTGACTCAAGTGGAACTGATCCTCATGGAACACTGCATTCACACTCCCAAAAATTTCTAGAACTCTTTCAATTCGACAAACTGGTGAATAACACTTGGGCATCATTTGGATGGGTACTGTAGTTGTAAGTTGTTGGTTCAATCATTTAATCGAATCCCGTCGGACAAATTACTTTGATGGCTTGTGCTTGAAGTTGAGTCCGAAACTCTGTGCAGCTCGGGGTTGCTGTACGGGTGGTAAGATCAAAAAGTGACTTGGAGTCAGTGATAGCTACATCTTTGATAGTTGGTGCTGTGATTGCTCGGGGAACATGTTTCAATGTTTCTTCGACCCGTTTCCAGCCATCAGATGGCTTGTTCAGCTAATCCCAAAAGAGTCGACGCCATGTGAGACTTCATCAAGCATGCATGGCAGACAAAGACATGGTCTCAGCGGCCAAAGTGCTTGTGACCACCTTCTGGATCTTGCAACATCCGCAGTCATGTTCTGGTCTACGTTCTTGCGTGTTGCTAGAATGATGGCCCAAGCATGTGAATCCGGTTTATGTTGCGACGCAAAAAAAACACAATGCATCTGAGAATGCCACAAACCGAAAGTCTTCAATGGGGAAGGGTTGGATGGTTACGCTCACATGTTTCTGCCTTTTCGCCTCGTGTAATACCTTTTTCGCTTCGCGCAGTCGCGCAGTATATCTACTGTTGCTTGGTTGATTGCTCTGGGACCAACTGCTTGTTTTCAAGTCTTTGTCGTTTCCTGGATCGTTTCCCTGCTTCGGCTGGGTCGGCTATTCGATCAACCAGCATATAAATTTGCACTGTTTAGATCACAGTATGGCTTCTCTTGATGGAACAGTTTTGGAACAAGCACCTTGGCGACAGTTCTTCCGAACTTCTGAGGGTACGCTGCCGTGTACTTGGTTCTTAGTATGGTCTTTCCGTTGTGAATCGATTGCAGCCAGCAATCTCTTGGTGATTCGCGATGCATCGGCAGCTTCCTCCATGGAGTTCATCAAACGGTTTCTGCGTGATGGGGTCATTGAGATCACCTACCTGGCACATGTCTGATTGGTGCCGATCTGACGAGGTTGGAATCTTGCCGGCCTCCACTGGCATCCGAGTTCCCTGTCTTAGTCAGACACTGCGTGGCGAAAAACGTCTGATGACGCTGTGCCATGCGGACTTGCGCAGCCTCGGTGGAACGTGTTTGCGCCATTGGGAAACGAAAGTCGTGTGTTTGCGTGCGTAACGTAAGTGCGGCGTGTCGCTGAGGAGAGGGATGCTTGGTGTCGACGAGGGGTGTCACAACCTTCGTGCTGTGTACTTAGCGCCTTCACCTGCGCAAGGCTTTCTATAATTTTCATGACGTTATTGATATATCTTCTTAGGCGCTTCATGCATTGCTCCACGCCAGGCTTACTGCCTTTCCTTTTACTTATCTATATAGTACGTTGCTTTTAGTCTGCCATTTTGGGTTTGCAGAAAGCTTTAACATGTGGGGGTATCCGCTCCTATAATTGTAACATTTGATAACCTTCCAATCCAAGAACGTAAAGCAGTGAACTACCCGATCGTGCTGCACATCTCAGACGAGTGTCACGGCCACGGGTCGGAATTTCAGGCCTTTGTGGCTCACTGGCCTGGTGGCCGACGTCCACTATACGGAACAAATCCCATGGTGAGCCAGCCAGACATACTTGCATGATATGATATTACCCTCTAGGTGCAACCTTGCCAAACAGAAACAGTTTAGTATTTGAGGCGTTTGCGTGCCCAAGAAAAACAGCTGACGGGTCCTCCGCTGGAGCTGAGCCCTTTGTGTTTTTCACTCAGGAATTGATTTTGTTGAACTTCAATGTCAGCTTAGACCCAGGTTTGACCAGGCCTGCGCAACCATGGCTCGCGGAGAGTCCTAGCTGCAAGTGGTCGTCAAATTCCTTTCGCATCTTCATGACACGACATGCTAAAGGGTTAGTACATTTGCTGCCGAGGACATAACCCTTGCTGCCATGGATGGTCTATCCACCCAAGATTTGGAATGAAGGGTACAGTTTCCAAGCATCAAAGTGCAAACTTGTATTACTCAGGCAGACCTATTCCAGCCGATGCTGCCATTGATGCGAATGGCCAGCCGACGAACATTTCTCAGATTGGTGCATGTGCATGGGTTTTTGATGTTGTTGAGGCACAAAATGCATGTGCGAAGTCTTACTCAAAGGCTGCCAAGCCACTGGCAAACTGCAAACCCATATAGAAAGTTGGCGAGTTGACGATTATCATTCCGCCACACGACGGAACTTGTATAGGCTTTAAGATGTTTTAAGCGGTAAGGCAGGGAGGTAGGCGCCCTTTGCAAAGGATTGATGCAGCACTGGCGCTGAAAGGAGCACAACTGCCAATGGCTGGGCACAAGGCATGGTCCTGGTTGTTGCGATGCAAACCATCCAAAGGAAAAGTGCTTCACTGCTCCAGGGCACAAGCTTAGCATTGATGGTGGAGCTTTTAGCAGCCAGCTTCACAGGCAAATGTATAGCTCTTTGATGTGCGTTGTTGAACGAATGAGTGAAGAGCCAGGAGATGCTTTTGCTTTTGAAGTTGAACTCTCAGCACAAAGTTTGACCCATCAGTTGCATGGCCATAAGAACGTGTTGGAATGCAAAGCCCTTTTGGTGTGAGGCTGCTGGAGAAGACAGTTCAACTCCTACGCAACATGGACCCTGCAGTCTTTTGTATTGCCGCTTCTTTGCCATTTGCACAGTGCACCACAATGTCGCAATGTGACTTGCTCGGCCTGTGTAAGATCATGTACTGTATACTGAATATATATATATAGTACAGTGTAATATACTGACTGTGTATATATATATAATATATCTATAACTATAAATATATAAGACCTTCGACTGCAGGAGAGCTCATTCTTGCAATTGACCCGGAACGTTGCAGTGCTGGTGGAGGTGCTATGCCCTCTTTGTTACACTGTTGTTTTTGGTTCAACCACGTCCTGCTTTGTGGTGAAAATCCGGATTCAGGCCGTGAAGCATTTCTGAACCGGGTAGAAGCACCTTTGCTGAAGATGCAGCATAGTGGACTGCATGACTGTGCTGCAGCTCTTAAGTCGTCTTACAGTAGTTTGTTTTCTCCTGAGCTTGCCTAGGCTCTTCTCCAGATGGTTGAGGCTGAAACCCAAGCTGCCGAGGCATGGATTTGTAGACAATCAGTGCAGCACTGTCACTGTGCTTTAGTTCCTGGTCCTGATAAAAGTTTATCGTTTGCGTCGCCTTTTGTTGCTGCACTTGGCCGTGAAGGCTTCGGGAAGGTCAATGCGTTTGCCCTCACAAAGGAGATTCACTACCCGGAAGAAAGCAGAGGACTGCTGAGCTTCCACACAAGTTCAGGAAGCGTGAGAAGTTTGACGACTTCAATTCAGTCACCGTTGTCACGATTCCAGCTCAGTTCATTTGTGTAGTGATCGTGTTTGGTGGAGCTTGCAGGAAGGCTTTGAGATTGATGAGGCCTGGTTTCGGACAAGCATGGCTGCAACCCGTCTTTGAGAATTGACGAGTTTTGCCAGGCTTTGCTCAGGAAATGTCAAGCCTTGGGCGAAAGCGAGGGTGACACAGCCAGACTTTGAGGAAAAACAAAGTGAGAGCACATGCTGTAGCAGGTAGAATTTTGAGCTGGGAAGCATAGGAGCAAGGACGCTACTAGGGGCTCCTGGCATCGCTACTATGAGAATAGCAATGTGCAGCTGCCATTGAGATGCTCCCAAACATCCACGACACTTCATCTCAGCACATACCTCGCAGCGCAGGCTGGTTTCGGTATCTCACCGTTCCTCTCAAAAACACCCTGCTGTAGCTTGCTGTTGAAAGCACAATTAGACCTTGACGATCTAACCTAACCATGACTAGAGAAGTTGGATACGGTTTTGAGCATCCCGGAGCAATAAACCATCATGGGCCGCCGCCGCTTCGTCAAGAAAGGGGAGGAGGGTCTTGCACTGAACAGCGGCATCTTTCTGTACTTTTCTGAGCCCTTGGGACTATTTAAGTTGATAACTTTGGCAAGGATCTACGTCGATAATTGCTAGATGATGTGATTGATTGATGTTTTTGCTTGCGTGTTCTTGTTTCTCACCATTTCTCTTTGCTATGGGTCGCTGCGAATGCCTTGACTCACTAGGATGTGCGCCACTTCAAACTGGTTGCACGCCCTGGTGCGGATGGCGAAGGCATGCGTATGTGAAGTCAGCCAGAGTGTCGTCAGAATTTTGGACCACTCAGTTGGAGTGCTGTCATTTCTGAAGTTCAGAACGGGTGTGCGCTTTCATCATACAAGTCACGCGCCTTGCTGCCAGATGAGCCGCCTTTAATCCTGGAGCCATATGCTCCTCCAGGCCGTGGGGCTTTAAAAACTCTGAGTCCGCCAACCTAATAGTGATGGCGTCCACCTAAAAGCGATGGCCTCCAACCTAATGGTAGTGGCCTCCAACCAAATAGTGATGGCCTCCAACCTAATAGCGATGACCTCCAACCTACTAGCGAT